CTTTTATAATATCTATCTTAAGATTCTCATCTGCTAATTCCATCCTGTCATTTTGAGTTTGTTTTTGTTAACTAATTTTTCTCTCGGTTATGGGTTACATTTTTCCTGATTCTCAACATGTCTAGTGTTTTTTTTTTTTTTTGATAGGATGCTAGATACTGTGAATGCTACATGTTAAGTGTTGGGTTTTTTTTGTCTTTTTGAAAATAGGACTGAAGTTTATTTTGATAGGAGGTTAATTTTTCTGTATATCAGGTTGATCCTGATAAGGCTTTAAAAAAAAAAAGGAAATGTTTTTGTTTAAAACTTTTTACTGAAGTTTAACATACATACATAAAAGTACACCTATAATTTGTGTACAGCTTGATAAATTCTTGCCCATGTACCTGGCACTCAGTTAAAAAACCAGCACATTACCAGAGTCTCTGAAACCCTCTCTTATGCTCCTCAAGGCTTAATTTTAAGCTGTGTTAAGGCAGGGCTAAAATCACCTTTACTCTAGAGCTAATTTAGACTACTGCACCAAGGCATGGCCTCCAGGGGGTCTCTCACGACTGTCTGAGTGATCAACAAGATCTTACTCTGGCTGGCCAGAGCTTGAATGACTCCTAGCCTGTGTGAGCTCCGCTCTACACGTGGGCAGATCAGTCACCAGCAGATTAGCCAAGAGGACTCAATTCAGATTTTTGCTGAATAGCTCCCTCTTATCTGGTACTCTGATCACAAATTTAAACCACCTCTCCCTCAAACTCAGATATCTAACCCCTTGACTCAGTGAGAGTGACATGCTTTGCTAGGGAGTTCCCTCTGGCACCAGGGTCCAGAAAATGCCTCAAGGCAGAAAGCTAGGGGGATCATAGGCCTCATCTCAATTGCTTCCTTTCTCTCAGGGATTATACTCCTGCACTGCCTGTTGTCCAATATGTGAAAACAGTTGTTTTCATAATTGCCCAGAGTTTTATTTGTAAATGGAGGGAGGAGAAATTCAGTTCCAATTATTCCGTCATGGCTAGAAGCAGAACAAAGGCCTCTTTTAATAAAATTTCCAGCATGGATGCCATGTTTTGCAAGATTTCATCTACCAAAATAAACCAATCCATATGTCCCTTCCATCCTTCCATCTATCTATTCAGTGGCTGCTACATCCTTCGGAAGGAAAGATGAATAAAACTTGATTCCTGCCCTCAAAGAACTCACAATTAAAAGGGAAAGCCAGACATGTGTAATAAATTAAACTGCCGGATGGTTAAGTGCAATTTTAAAAACAATACAAGTGTTTTGTGAGGACAAAGAGAAAGGTATTGTCAAGTCTACTTGGAGAGGTCAGGGAAGGTTTTTACAGCCTTACGTTAAGCCTAAGTCTTGAAAAATGAGTAGAGATCGACAGATGGTGTAGGACATTTGGGACAGAAGACACTCCGTATGCAAAGTATAAAGTTATGAAACAACATGTAAGCTTGGGAGAACTACTAATTCCAAATACCTATTATACAGGTTTGAAGCAGCGAAATGAAAGAGCTAAAATTATGGGAATAAATGGGAAGATCATTTCATAAAGGAGGGCCCTGCATGCCATGCTAATCATCATTTGCAACCATAATTCATCACTGTTGACTGGACTGCCACCTATGTGCTCACAGGATAATTGTTTATATATATTATATTCATTATATTTAATTCTCACAACCACCTTATGAGGAAACTAAGGCTCAGAGAGCTTCTCTAATTGTGCCCAAGATCACATGATCAGTAGGTGAAGAAGCCAGGATTTAAACACAGGTCTGCCTGATTCCAAAGTCAACAAAAGGAACTCGCCTCTAATCTATAGGCACTGGGAAGTTACGGAAGGATTTTTTTGTCTTCAGAAATTTTTTGTTTTTAAAATTATGCTCACTGATTAAATGGTTTTAAGTAGGAGGAAATAAAGTTAAATGTATGTTGCAGAAAGTGCTCTCTGATACGTGAGTTAGAAGGGCTGGAGTCTAAAGAACCAGGTCTGAGGTTGTTGGAAAAGTGCAGGAGAGAAATGAGCTTGGATTAGGTGGTGTTTAGGAGGAATGGAGAAGAGGATGTGAGAAACGTTGAAGAAGCAGAATCTGTCAGATGCTGCAAACAAGCAACTTTGGCAAAAAGGGAGATTGTGAGGTCAACTGTGGACATGCTGATACACTAAAGGGACCTGGTCCTGCTCCAGATGCAGGAGACATAAAGGCATGCTGGACAAGAATTTCCCTCTCAAGGACCTGACAGCTCATGTAGCCTCAAGGAAGGCAAGCACCTTTACATGCAAGATGGTGAGGACATCATCAACGTCCTGTGCTTCAGCCCCAACTGCTCTGTGCGGCCACAGGCCCTACCATCAAGACCTGGGACTTGGAGGGCAGGATCATTGTAGACGAACTGAAGCTAGAAGTTATCAGTCCAGCAGCAAGGCAGAGCCACCCCAGTGTACCTCTCTGGCTTTGCCTGTTGATGGCCAGAATGTTTGCTGGCTACACGGACAACCTGGTGCAGGTGTGACAGGTGGCCATCGATACCTGCTAGAAATATATGACAGAGCTTTAAAAATTAAAAAAACTTTTTTTAATTAAGAAAAAATCAAACCTATGATTTCCACTGAAACACAGTAAGTACTGTATGGACCACATTCCCTCCCCACTACTATCTTGGAATCTATGATGAGTCTAGAGCCCCGTTCTGGAAACCACTGCTGTAGAACATTCTCAACTCTGCCACAAACCAGCCTGCAAATAGAAGGTTCTCTTCCTGTAGGCTGAGAACTGTTAGGACGTGGAGGGAACCAACTGTCCTCTAATTCTGGCTGTAATTATCGACAATTTTATTAAAACAAATGCAGGTACCATTTATCAAACACTGACAACATGTGAGCACAGCGCCAAGCATCTGATGAAACACTACCATCTCATTTACTTGCCACAACAATCCTAATAATAAGCCTCTCTTAAGGACGGGAAACAAGCTCATGGAGGGAAAACAACGTGCTCACATTGCTTTGGTTCCCTGAGGCTGCCTCACCGATCATTTAAAAAGCATCTTGGAACGTGCTACCTTCAGAAAGCCTCTATTACCCTCCCCCCTGGGTCCTTCTGTGCCTGATTCCAATTTTATTTATGGCCCCTATTATGCTATACCAAGAGATGTGTGTAATTTACATGTCTGTTTCCCCTGTTGGAATACACTCTTGGAGGGGAAGGACTGGATCTGCTTCAGCTTTGCTGTTCGATGCCCAGCACTGGGTCAGAGCACTGCATATGGGATAGCCAGTCAGCTCTATGGTTTCTGAGCCATCAGTCACTCATCAGGCTACCCCTGGCTCCTGGCCATTCCTTGCACCTCATATACCCCAGGCTCCCTTGCCACATTTACTCAGTAGCTGCAAAATCCATACCGAAGACACCCATGACTTAAAGGGAGAACTTTTCCACTGAAAGGAAACCGGAATAGAAACCTCAGATTCCTTGGATCAAAAGAACTCAAATTTTGGCCAAGAGGCCCTAAGACACCAACCATGTACCCTGCCCTGACATGATCAACAGAAAACCTCACAGTATCTGGCATGTTTATTTTTCCTATGCCGTCACCTCTCTCTGCCTCACATGGGCGCCATGTACACGGAGTGGAGGCGGTGCAGGCTTGAGTGTCCTCCAGACTAGACTCATCACAGCCCTGCCCCGCCAGCTGTAGGCTCTGTGGCAAGACATGCTCTCTGAGGTTCTTTTCTCCCTCACCCACTCCATGGGGCTAGGATGCCAACTGAATGAGATCCCAAATGCAGAAGGCACCTAGAAGGGCAGGGGGGCCGGGTGGCTCCATGGAGTGACAGAATTGGGTTCATACCTCAGTTCCCCAACTTTTTAGCTCTATGGGTAAATAAGAATAAGAAAAATACCTTCCTCAGAGTGGTGAAGAGTAAATGAGAGGTCAATGACGAGTGTTTAACACATAGAAATCAATGAATGGTAGCCATTGTTTAACTATGGTGTAAACGACACATCCTTACAGGACCCCCCCAAATCTCACAGTGAGTTAAGAGCAGAGGGTCTGAAACCCCATTGCAAGCCATTCATCAACAAAGAGCAATCTCCCCCAGAGAGCTAGTCCCAGAGTGCCACTGGGACTCACGGCAGCAATGCAGTGGCAGTGACCACCTGCCACCATGCAAACCCCAGCGACACAAACCCAGTCCCACATCAGCACACATGCTCAGGCACACCTGCTCCTTTCAGTCTGGGAGCCAGCATGACTTTATAGATCTTCCAGAGGCAGTCAAGGAGGTCAAACTGCAAACATCAAAACCACACTTTCCAGGGAACCTCAACCCTCCTCACTTGTATGAACAATGGGGGACACTGGGTCTACTTCAGTTGGCCACCCATGAGGCAGCTCTGAGTGGCAATATGAGACAGGTGTGTGGTCAGATGTTAGCGTGGCAGCCAGATGCTTTTTGCTAAATAGGCCTACCTTCTGTCTAGACCAGAGGTAACAAAGAAAGATTTAGGGGACATGGAACTACATTCAGAGCACTGGCAGCAGACATCCTGCTATGTAGGAAAATGGCTGGGTTTGATGATGGCACAAGAAAAAAATGTAGGTTTGAAGTGCCCCAAATTGCTCTCATGGAAGCCCTTCCACCCACCTTCTGTGGGGGTACCCAGGGAGGCTGTCCTGCTCTCTGGACATGGCAATGGTGATGGGGCTGGCAAGATCCCCAGCTCCACAGAAAGAGGAGCGATCTAGACCTGGGATCACTTCATAGCCTTTCAGATGAGTTATGAGAGCAAAACAAGACTGAAAAAATGAACCACCTCTCCGCTTCCCTCCCTGAGACAAAGGTTCCAGAGGTAACAGAAACCAACTGCAGTTCTTAGGCCATAGGAAACCGACAGTGGTCTCCATCCCATCCCGTCCCCTCCCCACAGTCACATTCACGTCCACTGCATGAACTCACAGGAATCAGAACTCAAGAGCGCATTACCCACCACATCATTTGGGAGGCTCTGGAGGTCATCAAAGGGGGTTTCCAGGGTGTTGGTGTCCACGTTCAGGATCACAACATCATCCAGGGCCATGTTTCTGACTTTCTACAAGTAAAAGAAAAAATTCAGAAGAGAAAATCACTGAAGCACCATGAAGACCCAGATATTATTCCCTGGCCTTCTCTGGGAAAGGGGAGTAAGGAAGAAAAGTGACATTTGACAAAGGTGTACTCTGTGGCAGGCCCAATACCAGGTAGTTCACATGTGTGAGGCCATTAAACTGTCACAAAAACTCTATGAGCTTGTACCGTCATCCCCAAGTCCCAGGGGTGGAAAGGGCTTCAGAGACTAAGTTAACTTACCCCAGGTCACACAGCTAGGGAGAAAGATCCTCATACGTCAACATTATTTTTTCCTTATATTTTCAAAAAAAAAAAAACCCAGAAGCTGAAGTCTAGTGCTCTCACTCCAGGAACTCAGATATACAGCTAGGCTCTCAGGATACTCACATGCTCTCATTTACTAAAGGCTACTTGCCCATCTCCTTTGGATCTTGTCATTCTCAGGTATGAAATAAGTTGTATAGCCTAGTATTAACATATTAACATTTCTCTTAAACATTAAGTAGAAAGGTCACACTTTTAATTTGGTTCTATATTCCATAGAAATCCAGCTAGTGAATCATGGCTGTGTGGCCCTGGCCATAATCCATATTCTACTGGTGTAGTAACGGAAAGGGTCAGGGAGACTTGTGCCTGCTTGGTGTTCATGTTTGGTGAGGGGATGAAGATACAACATGGAGAAAAGAAGAGCCCACCACCTGGAAGCAAGCTCTCAACTGTCCAGAGAAGTACAAGACTGTGTCAGCTGAGTTTTTAATCGCACTATTTACCCACTGCTGGAATCCATCTCTGTTTTCCTCCTGCCTACCTACCACTTCCAATCTCATTCAATCCTCTTTCCCCATCATGTATTAAAGCTCATTTCTTTAGAGTCCAGCACTTCAGAGCTGTGAAGTTTTTCATTTTGCCCTGGTTAAGCAGAAAGATTCTATAATTTGTTATCCAAACTGGAATGCTTGTGGATGTGAAAGAGAGCATTTACACCAGGGCAGCAGGCACAAGATGGGATGTGTGGTCACCTATACGGAAGGGATCAGTTTCATCACTGTCCTTGCTCTGAGCTACTGGATATGACCATACAGGTGTGCACTGCTCAGGCACACCCAGCCAGCCCAGTTGGGCCGAAATCTGCCAACCCATATGTCTGCTGAGTGGCATCAGTTGAAGGCAGGGGTGGGGGCTGGTGATGGGAGGGTGGAGACACCTTTTCCTAATTCATCCAAGAGCACCATTACAGGCTAGTGATGGAGCTGGGTGTCTGGACGGCTGCTAAAGCCCAAGCTTGCTAATGCCCTGGAAATGGACAACAGTCACAAGGCAACAGAAGCCGACCAGTGCTTGCTCTATGCTTTACTCACTAAATCTCATTTAACTCTTATCAAACCCTGTCACTTGCACACTATTACCTTCATTTATGTACCTTGAGGAAAATGAGGTTCGGAGAGGTGAGGTGAGGTGATTGGCAGAGGTAACATGGCACTGTCTGCCTCCACAGCTCATGATCTTGAACAGGATGGCCATCGCCTCCTTGTCTTCAGACACCCTCAGTGAAGCTGACCACCCCTGGCTTGTTGCTCTGAGTCCCGGCACCCCTTTGCTTGCCTGCCTCCCCCTGTTGGGTGTGCGGGTTCCCTCAGAGGCTCATCAGTTTGGTTCACCACTGCATGATAACCAGCACCCAACAAAATAACTGGCACTCAGGAAGGGCTCATTAATATTGATGTTTGTTGTCTCAAATCCCAGCCTCTAGGATAGAATTTGGTACTTAAGTAAACATTTTGAGATTCTTCCCAGCAGGAGGGTAGAGCCAAGCTGGTCAGAAGCCTCCTAGCGTTGAAATAACACTCTCAGAGGGCAGAATCCTGGAACCCTTCCACATTCCAAGACCAGGAGCCCCAAATTTCTTCTGCTGTTAACTTCTCCAGGGGCTAGTACACAAACTTACCAATCAATTCATAAACATTTACTAAATGTTTTCTCTGGGCTGAGAGCCGCAGGGGAGGAACAAGATTGCCTACTTAGAAGTTTATTCTTCCCCCTAGACCCCCAACCTCATACTAACTGCTTTATTCACAGGTTATAAAGCTATCAGCAAACAGCATTGATGATAATACAAATAACTAATGTTTTACAAAGCAGAATCCCATTTTACAGATGAGAACATCAAGACTCATAGTGAATTGTCCAAAGCTCCTTAGCAGCCTCACTTTGCAATCCAACAGGTTAAACACTTAGCAATGTGCTAGCAGGAAGTTACAGAAAGTCTTAATAACCACCTTTTCCCACTTATATCACACTTTAGAGCTCATAAAGCACTTTCACACAGATTCTTTCATTTTCAACACAAGCTGGGGGTGAGGGATCACCATTTCCATCTCAGAAATGAGAAACTGAGGCTCAGAGAGGTGATGTGGCCTGCCCAAGGTTATGTGGCTACTAACCGGCCTCTTCATCTGTAAAATTGAGAAGATAACTATGACTGCCATCCTTAGCCCTCTTCCCCGGGGCTGCTGTGCAGATTAGAGGTGCTATGTGCACAGCGCTGGACACAAAGTAGGCCTTACAGTAGCAATTACTATTGCTTTTATAATATACACGCCCCAGCCACGGCCAGTGTGGAAACTGCAGCGGCAATGGCCTAAGGACAAAGATCCTCTGGTTCCTCCTGGTCCCTGCTGGACTCTCACTTAAAAGGATGAGACACTGGCACTGGACATGGAAATGGAGTGGGGCCCCAAGGGGCTCCAGAACTCGGCTAGTGACTTCAGGCCTTGGGGACTGAGTTGAAGGCCACTGCACCCCAGAGTTGCTGATTTTGCCTCATCTGACCTCCAAAGAGGCCCAAACAGATGAGGGCAGGGGGCCCGGCCACTGGAGAGAAGTCTCAGGGCTGAAAGGCCCAGCTACAGGGATGCTGATTTTGGACGAGAATCGGGTGTTGTTTCTGTGTTCCCAGGGGGGCCCCAGTGGCACAGACCGGCCGTTGTGGGCTCTCCATGGCTGGGCGGGAACAGGCTTTTGATTTCTTCCCACTCCTGGCTGGAGGACTTGCCAGTTAAGCTGTGTGGAGTGTTTACTTTTTGAACAATGGCCGCAAGCTGAAGAAGAGGAAAAAACCTGGCCCTTTCTTCTGACTTAGCAGGCCAGGGTCCCCTTAGTAACCAAAATGCCTGCGCACCAGGCTCCAGGAGGAGTGAGGTCGGCACAGTTTCCTCTCATAGGACATTGCTGCCTTCCTGGTGGCGAAGCCTCTTCCAAAGGGCCTGGCATGGACTCAAGGGCCTTCCTGAAGCTCATGTTCCCAAGGAAAGAATCAGAGGCCAGCTTGGCCGGATGGTGCCCTATGCCTGAAAGGCTCAAGGAAACAAGAGGAATGAAGAAAGGCAAAATACAAAACAAACCCCACAAAACCCCTCAAAGGCGGGGGGTGGGCAGTGCCAATGGGGAAGGAAGCTGGGCTGTTACTGGGTACCCAGGTTTAACCCTGACCATGCTATGAGGGAGATACCACCAGCTCCACAGTAAGGAGGAAGCTCAGAGAGGTCAAAGAAGCTAGTGAGTGGCAGAGCTGACTTTTGAACCCAGTCTGACTCTTTCCGGAGATGTCCCCAAATCAATAGCTCAGACTTCAAAATGAGTTTCTCTGTAGGGCACACAGCTACACTAACACTCTCAGGACTTGCTTTCTCTCACACAAAATGACACTTGCCTTTTGTATAATAAAAATTATGTGTGTTAAAAAAAATGGGGCAGAAAAGTTCAAAGAAGAAAATTGTGGCTACTGTAATCCCTCCATTTGGAGATAATGTTTTGGTGTATTTCTTTCCATATCCCTCCATCCCAACCTCTACTTTTTAAAACACAGTTGAAATAAGTCAATGTTTCTTTCTGATTTTCTCATTTATTACAACATAAGCAATGTCTTACTTTATTAAAAGCTGTGTAATTGCTAATTGCTACAAAATGTTCTACTTCATAGAAGCAAACCCAACCAAGACTCCTTTGTTGGCTATTTCTAGTTTTAAAGAAATTATTATAAATAATATTCCTGTGAAATCTGTAGGCATATAGCCGTGTGCTTTAGGATGGATTCCTAGAAGTGGAATTTCCTTTCCACTTCTTAAAGAGTGTCCCTCTCAAATTCGACTTTGAGAGAGATATCTTTACTTCCAATTATTTTAAAGTCATTTTATCCACAGCTTGTGTTTCCTACTCTAAGTGAAGAAAAATCAGCAAAGACACGAGCAGATGTCAAAATAGTCCTCCAAAAACCCTACCCAATTAAAACACTTACTAGTACCGCAGCACACCGAGACAGCTCTCCGGTAGCTTGTCCCACCAACACATTCCCTCTCTTTTTAGTTACAACATATGCCAAAGCTCCTGCCAGCTGCAAACCCTCCCCCCACCAGACTCTATAGGCTTTTTCTCAGAATGAAAAAAAAAAAAAGATACTGACATGTACACCGGCTTTCCAAATGGCATTTCTTGCACAGAGAAATACACAAAAATGGCATCTTCCCATAAATACTGTTAATCAAAAATGTCTTTCCCTTTATGCTTTGTCACAGACATAGTCTGACCTCTGCCTTTCAGGACAGAAAAGGGAAAAAATCATAGTATGGGAGGTGTTCGGGGCAAATGAGCGAATACAGGCTCTAATATAAGCTTTACCTCTAGATTGCGCCTTCGCACGTGGGGTGCCTCAGGCAATTCACTCAAATTCATAAATCCTCCAGGTTTTCATCTGTAAAATGGGGATCATGATAGTAGTCACCTCACAGAGTTGTCGTGAGGATTAGATAAGTGAATGTACATAGAGGAGACAGTGTGATTCCCAGGAGATCCGTAACAGGCATTCAACCAACAGTGGCGCTCTTGCCTATCTGTCCCCTCTCCTTCAATGGTTCCTGGGACCTCAGTGGAGCCTGGTAAACCTCATCCTGGAGCACCTGAGAAAGCAGTAAGTTTGCCTTGCCCCAT